AGATACGTTCTATAAAAAATATAAAACAACAAAACATGAACCTTTGCTTACAAACTAACAATATAAGAATAATTAGATACTATGGAATAATATGGGCCTGAGGGGCAAAATTAAAACAATCAACCTTGATAACCAAAATGGAAAATACCAAACAAAAACCATAAATGAAAATGGGCTACACAACAGAAATAATTTATATTAATAAAAATCAAAGTGATACAAATCTGCTTTCAGCTGAATTTTTTTTCTTCCAATGCCTAGGCTAGACTGAACTATCCGCTGGACATAATTTGTTGTTGTTGTTATAATATATATATATATATGTGTGTGTGTGTGTGTGTGTGTGTGTGTGTGTGTGTGTGTGTGTGTATAACATATATATGTAAATGCTATTATGAACTTTGCATATCCAAGGAACATGTGAGATATATATACGATGTGTTTTGTGGAGAGAAGGAGAGGGAAGGATTGCGTGAGAATGGGCCGGGGGCGACGGTGGGAATCGAACCCACGACCGCGGAATTTCGATTCAAGTATCAATCACGCTAACCACTCGGCTACCGCGATTATTAGGTAATTTGAAAAGACACTACGCTTGAATTTTTAAAGTAAATTTGTGAAAAATGTGTTGTGTGAAAGCTAATGTGTTTTTTTATCATTATTTCTATTTTATATTATTTTCTTCTAACTAAAGTCATTAATGTTTCAAAATTTCATTGTGTTTATTGTTCCTATTGAGTTTCATAGCTTCGGATAGAAGTTTAATAAGTTTTCCGGTCCAAAACAACATTTGCAGCCGCCGTTCCAATCCAGTCTAAATTGTTTTCCTTATCCATTGTTGTCGACAACTTGCTGTTTAACCTCGTAGGAAGGCGCTTTGAGCGAGTTAACTTTTATAACACAGAACGATCGTGGTAAATGGGGCAAAAGTAGTTCGGGCAAAAATAAAAGAAATAAGAGTTACTTTGCCCAATATGTGACCGGTCGGTTCTTCACTGTCTCTTACAAATCCACGAACTTATTTCAAAAATTTTAAACTTAGAAATTATCAGAATGACTACGTTTCCTCAAGAGATAACAAGGGATTAGGGATGAAATTGTTATAGCTCGAAAAATCATTACTGACAATGTTATTCATGTTAAATTAAAATAAATTAAGAAAAAATTTTCAAAATATTACACACCAACTGAAATGAAAAATAAAATAACAAATAAAACAATTCATCGTTTCTATTTTTATCCTAAATCTTTCAAGGCATAATTTATTAGAATACAAAACAAATTCAGCTTGGTTATAAGTCTCTTGGGTGGTGTTCATGTCGTCAGTCAACACCAAAAATTAGAAAATTACAAAAAATCATCTAAAATATGCGTTTTTGACACATATATTTACGTATATTTGAAATACGTGCCCAACAATGGCAGAAAACCATATTTTAAAAAAATTGTGTGAATTTATTTAAAATATACTTTTAACATAAACGATACTTAACTTTTCGTTACCCTCCAGACCTATGGGTACCCAGACAACAATCTATCGTTTTGGCGAGACACTCCAGTTCATGGCAATTCTCCAAAAAGGAATCAACGGAGAACTTGTCACGGACTTAACGGAGTCGGTTAAGACTAGGTAGTAAGAAACACCACCGTCTCGAATGGGGGGGGGGCAAATCGCATACAAATCCGCCTATAAACGCTACAGTCCTGGGGGGGGGGAGCGACCATGAAGAAATATATGGATTTATTTGCCAGAAATACATTTCATCTCTAAGTATAAACGGTAATGATTGAAAACAAGAATGAAAATCAACTGATTTCTGTTTATAAAGTAAATTAATTCTTGTCATACAGAAGGCTTACGTGTAAACACCCATTGGGTGGGTATCCCGGATGAAGGGTTCAAACAACTTTTATATATTATTACCAACTAAGAGAATGGGATACCTGCTGGGCTCGTAGTAATAAAAATAACCCTGCTAAGCCGTGGCAGGATAAGAAAGACGTCGGTCCCTGGTCCATGGAGAACGGCTCGAAAACACTAACATGAGGTTCCCGAGAACTCTTCGTCAACAAGACAAGAGGATCTTTAGCGTCCGCAACTGGCCTATTCGGCCTTATCAGACGTTTTGATTCTCAAGATGAGAGCTGACGCACCTCTGCATACGACGGAATAGTGTTACCGCCTCAGCATTGGTGAAGAGGCGCCCCAGCCCCTAAGGGCCAAGAACAACCTCGCTCTCCGCTTGTCCACTCCGAATGGTCGGGCCTCATTGTGCATAGGGTCGTATGCCGCACGCAAAGAGCCCTTACATACATACATACATCAGCCTGTTCTCCCGCGTACTCCCTAGATAGAGAAAGCGACTCTATCTCCCAGAGTATTGGGGCTTCCCGTAGCGTAGAAACTACCGGATCCGCCCCGGCCGAGGTTTTGTTTTTAGTGAAATTGCTAACCACCTCCTAGATGAGCACCGCCTAGGGTAAAACCTCCTGTCGAGCTCAGCCTACACCTGCCAAGCGCATTCGAGGGACGCCATAGGCTCATCCTAGGTGATCCGATTCTTCGCTTCCCCAAGGGTACAACGCCGGTCATATGCACAATGCAAAGCATACTCGAGTCAGAGAAACCGATTCATACTCGTTTCTGTTCTCTTACTCACGCATTCGAGGGACTATTCAGCATAATCATCGCGTCCTAAACGCTTATACGCTGTCGTCCGGTCGCAACGTCTCCCGTGAGGCCGGGGGTAATAACGCTGGCCATACGCAAGCTTCACGAAGGTCACAAATAGAAGACAGCCTCTGTCTAAGTTCCCCCAGGGGCGTCACCACGTACCACCACGAATTCGTTCCCAGTGTAACTCGGGCTGAATTTGGAACTTTTCAGTTACACCGTGGTACAGATGGCCATACACTCTCCCCCGTCTATGCAGACAGGATCTGGTGCACTGGCCCTCATGTGACTCTGCTAAGGCACCCGCCGCCCATGCCGACCCTAGGCCGACACGAGTACAGCTTGTGCTTCAAAGAGGTTGCCACGCCCTCTGGGCTGCACCATGATTTTGTGCCCGGATACCCCCCTTGCAACTTGGTTGGGAGGGGTCGCAGATAGAATGAAGGAACTCGGATTGAGAAAAGGGCCGTTAATGAGAACACGAGGTAAGCCTCAAACCACACTATACCACCCGTCGTCGCCGTAGTTCCGCACATAGTGGGCCATCTCTCCCAGGGTGGGTCGAAAACACTAAGAGTTAGTGTCCGTGTGGATCAAAGTCACGATAGCTCAAGTGGTAGAGCAGCGGCTGTTTAGCTTCTGGGTTCGAATCCCGCTTGTAACACTGACCTTTTTATCTCAACCAAAACCTTAATTAATTGAAAAGAATTTATTTGATCAAGCGGACCACGAAACCTAATAAAATGTAAATTATTAGTGTGAAAGGAAGAGGTTATTTAAACCCGCCCCGAGAAATATCGAGTACTCTGGGGCGTGTGTGATGTCTGGAGAGTAAAATTAATTTATTAGCGTGTGTGGTGTGAGTTCAACTCCGCCCCGAGGAATATCGAGTACTCTGGGGGAGTGAATGTGACCAGACATCTATGTTTGTGGTGATGTATATATATGTATTGTATGTTTTGTTTCTGTTCAGTATGTTACAACCTGAGGTACAACCATGAAGCTACATTTTAGCATATCGACTTGGTACACATTTAAATGCAGTCAGAAAACAGATCGAGATTCAAATAGCTGCAGTTTAAATCAAAATACGCACGAAAGTAGAGAAAAAGAAGGAAAACACGACGGCGTTGACCTAAGCTGTTTGTCGGCCCATAAATTTCCCTCTTTATATATATTACCAACTAAAATTCTATGTGGTGTAAAGAGGTTAGAACTCATAACTGCTAGCGTGGCAAATACGAGTCGGACGCTTTAACCTGTCAACCACCGCTGGCCCCGAACCTAAGCAGATTCTGCTGCTTTTTTTAGACCGGTGATTTTTTCTTAACTGGAATGCCATAATGTCATAACCAAAACTTATTCAGATGGTGATGGTTTATCTACAAGTAGATGAGCTGATCAATACTGACAGTTACTCACTGAAGATAGCGTTAAGCGGAAACGTAAAAGTGCTACGTAAGCCAGAGGGAACAGTCTGTAAAATGATCAGTATCGATTGGTTCAACGTGTAAAAATTTTATTTCTTATATAATTTAATTGACTATATCGAAAAATAAATTCAAAACTTGAAATATATAGAATTGATTATATTTCGAAACAACAGTTCTATCAAAATAGAATTTCTGAATGAACAAAAGGAGGCTTCGGTGAAATGGTGTAAATCTCTTGATCCTCATTGCTATGAATGTATTCAAGACGAATAATCTAATCTGATACGAGAGCCGGTTCCGGGTCGTGAGCTAACCCGATGAGACAAAGTTGTGGAAACCCCATTCACCAGGGGCAACCCAGGGGCAAGATTTCCCTTTCGCTGCCCGGCGGCAACGGTTCAATATATTTACCTAATTTTTAAAATGGGGTTTTACAACATTCAATTAATGTTGTTAATTATCTTATAGCACCGGTAACAATCAACGGAGCTTTGTGGCTAAATTTTCAAGGCTAAAGAAAAGAGGTCACTTCATTGTCCAATTGACTCTAATTGACAAAATTCTCTAAACTCATCTAAAATTTTGGCTTAGGTGAGGTCTACTTAATGCTTATGTACATTTTTCTTAGCTGCTGCTTTGTTATTTTCAGCCTTAACTTTAGCGTTTCTAAAGAAGATTTATACAGAAAAACTTGTTCATATTTTCAAAAATATTATATGATTCAACGTTTTATTAATAAATAATAATTGTAGGCAAAATCTACACAAAAAAAAAATAGTCCTGGCTGGAAAATAGTCCAACCAAACATGATTGATTATCCAAGACCCGTTGTGCAATTTTACAATTATAACACAAATGTGCTAAAACCCACTAAATGAAATAATAACACATACCAATGGAGTCGTCAAGACTTATTCAGAAGTTCATGGAACTAATCAACCGTGTTCCTCCACCTGAAAAACAAAACGGTTTTGGTTGATAAGCTTCTGCGTTTTCATAATAGATAATACGTACCATAAACATTGAAAATAACAAACAGTTTTGTTTCATTTAAAACGGTTGCCAGTTTAATATTTTGTAGCAGTGTCTTTGGTGTGAAAGTCGTCATCGTTTCGTGTTTTCTTGTTTTATTAATTATAGTCAGAGTTCATGCTATGCAAAGACTTTTCTTTATTATAAAAAAAGGGGTTAAAATGAATGCCTTAGTTTCCCCCACCAGAATTGGAAAGTATTATCCTAGAAAAAGGAAGACCAGGGATAGAAGTGAGGCAGTATTATGAAGGTTAAGAAGAGGAGTGCTTTTTAAACAAGGAGTCGAAGGATTTCAGCAATATTAAGATCGTATCCAGAAGCTTTCTTTTAGGAATGTTTTTTGATAATATACTGCAACTCTGAAGAATGAAAAGCTTCGTTAGGAATGGAAAGGGGTTGTGGTTGGATCAAGATCTATTATATCTTAACCAGGATGAGGGCGATAAATTGTAAAGAGGTGTTGAGGAAAAAATGAAGCTTTCTTTTTTACAGAATCGAAGAACAATCATGTCAGCTGACTAAGAACATGGCATACTAGGTTGACACATGGACAATTACTTTCAAGCCAATATGTTGTCTCCGGCAGGTAGGGAAAGGTGGTTCAATGTGTCGAACATCATCGAATTTGCCTTAGATTCAAATAAAGAGCAAGTAGTAATGTCACCTTATGTGAGAATCGCGTTAGAGAATGGTAACGAGTCTTGGTCGTCCTTATATGGATTTTTTGAAGGAAACAGAACTCTTTTGAATCTAATATGTACTAGTGGGACTTATACTGTTTTTTCTTTTTTTTATCTTAAATTGTTTTGTTTCTTTTTGTGAGTATTAACAGTGAATGTACTTATAAGAGTGAATCTGTAATGTGAGCGGGTCGATGGCGGAATATTGAGTAGCCGATCGACCCTCCATTTGATTAATAACAAAATGGGTGTAAAGAGTGATGATGGAATATCAATTACTCCATCCTAACTGAGTGAATGTTATGTAAATAAGAAAGAAGTATTTAAGAGTTATACTTTGAATGGGTTTGGATTTAGGAACTGACTGGGCTGGGATCTGAAATGAGCTGAAATTATCCCGGTCCACCATTCCAACCAAAAAAAGTGTATTTTTACTAATTTTCTTATTATTTGTTTGAAAAAATTCATTACTTGTTATGCACATTATCGAAGGAAATTTTATTAACTAATACTAAAACATAAGCGTCTTTCTACAAGTTTTTATACAGCTATTTGGTATACATTAACTTATTTAGGTAAAAGACAGTTGTAATACAGAACGTCTTGTCTCAAATTCAGTCGTACAAGAAGAGTAACCGTCCAAATAATCATTGAGTGTCAAAACGTTTTACAATCATTTTTACATATTAGTACCAATTAAAAGTTCTGTGCTGGAGTTGGATACAAGAACCCCTAAGAACCCCACCATTATTTTGTACCCAGATACCCCCTTGCAACCAAAAGTTGGGAAGGGTCACAGGATACAATGAAGGAACTCGGATTGAGAAAAGCCACACTATACCACTCGTCGTCGCCGTAGTTCCACATATAGTAGGCCACGAATCCCAGGGTGGGCTGAAAACACTAACAGTTAGTGTCCGAGTGGAGTATAGCTCAAGTGGTAGAGCAGCGGCGTATTTAGCCGAAGGTCGTGGGTTCGAATCTCGCTTGTGACACTGACTTTTTTTTTTATCTCAACCAAAACCTTAATTAATTGAATAGAATTTATTTGGTCAAGCGGACCACGAAACCTAATAAATCTTATATAAAATCAAAAATTTATTTTCAAAGTGTGTGTGCGTGTGTGCATTTAGTATGCACCCTTAACAACATTGATTTGATTAATTTTTCTTCAAAAAGAGCAATTACTTCTTTTGATTATCAAATGTATTTTTTTTTTTTTTTTTTTTTTTTTTTGTACGGGGTGAACTTAAGGGAAAAATGTTAGGCTTTTGGTCGGAGGAGAAGAAACAAAAACGAGGGAAATCGATCATCAGCAGCCCTCCGAGGAAGGACAAAAGGATATCCTTACAATTTAGCCTTTTTCTATCTATTCCGCCATCGTTTCTATCTTGTAGCGGTCGTTGGAAAAAGTGAACAACGGTCGTAAATAATTTAGAGTTGATGTTCGAATCGATTGGAAATTTATTTGTCTCTTAAAACAAAGCTTGGAAAGACGACGCCCGGAGGGGGGAGGCGAAAGCATATCGACGAAGAGAATCGGCATGAACCTTAACGCAAAACCCTTCCTAGCCAAAAAGGCAAATATTTTTAAACTAAAATCGATCTTTCTGTTGTCAATGTCAATCAAGATAATTGGCCATATCTGGGCGGCTTTTTCAAATGGCCCAGGGAGAAAAATCCTTTATTGAACTTGAGAACATCCAGTTGAATTTCATCAAATACGTTCTGAAAATACTGAATCCATAAACAATGCTTGAATTATAAATAAAGCCCCGAGACATATTCAAAGTATAAATTTTAAGCTTGAACCACTACACTTTAATCGAAACGTCTTTCATATTCCCCATCAAATCTGGTTATCGTTTTTGGCCTTTATTCTGTGATTTTGGCAGCTACCAACGAATCAATGTGCTTCCCATTTAGCGATTTTGAAGAGCGTAGGATAAGTGAAAATCTGACCATGCAGAGCCTGGTCAATATGGCGGATGATGCAGGGCATCAGAATATATATAGCTTTCGAATTAGACGTCCGATTGCTTACTATTTGAAAAAGGTGATAAAGTTTTATGATATAATTTTATCGTACTTAAGGCTAAATATTATAGATAAAAACATTCTTGCTCCCATCGAATAAATTGTTCGTGTACACTTGAGATAAAATAGACCATAAACATGTAATATTTATACTAACTTTTTAATCACTTTTATCAGCTTATTCTTAATTGCATAATTACTCAATTAATTATACACAATTTTTTCGAAATGAAAAATCTGTGTCACTGGGGATTCGAACCCACGACTTTCGGCTAAATACGCCGCTCCTCTACCACTTGGCTACGGTGACTTCGATCGCTCATGCCACAAACTTCCCATTTCGATTCCCCGTTTATTCCAAATGTAAGCAAATAACGGCTACATGTTGAAACACTTTTATTAACGATTGTACTAACTTGTATTAAGTTTGTGGCATGGGCGACTTGGTAGAACAGCGGCGTATTTAGCCGAAAGTCGTGGGTTCGAATCCCGCCTGGGACACAGATTTTTCATTTCAAAAAAATTGTCTATAATAAATTGAGTAAATTGAGTAATGCAACATTTAATTTATAATAGGATAGTAAAATATCCTCGGGTTATTAAATTCAATCTTGCCACAAATAAATCCCGATATGCTTGTCTCCTTTTCATTGCAAAAATTACTAAAAGGAAAAGATATGTTAATTTTTTTTCTAATTGAAAGATGGTCTTTTTCAGCAGGCAGAAAAGCATGACGTTCTTTCAAAAGACATGTGTTATCAAAAAAGATGGAATCCCCGATTCATGTCCAAAGAAAAAGTGAAAAATACGCTTTCTGCGATACTAAATGTTTCATGAAGGGAGAGCTGACAAAGCCGGGGAAAAAACAATAGTGAGAAAGCTCACAGGATGAGATACAAGACAGGAGGTTGATTTTGACCAGAGGTTTCGGTATACCGGATGTCCTTTATAAGGATCAGAAGAACGATATATACGAAACATTACGTTTTCTGGGTCTATTTAAAAAAAGCATTATTAAACTATTTTAAATTCAGTGGAATACAAGTTTGAATTTGAGTTTTCTTACAACTGTACTACATATAATTGTATTTTTGTATAATTTTTTATGTTATATCGTTAACAGGTTTGAAACTTACATTTCTGGAGGAAAAGCATAACTTTTTCATAAAATCAAGTACGTTTTAGAAATCATTCAGAGACCATTTTAAAAGATAAACAAATAAGAACATGAATAACAACTTTCTTGTAGGAAGTAAAAATATAGCACATAATTGAACTGATTTTGAAGAATTTTTTAGGTTTTTGGGGGTTGAATAAGGATTTTAAAAATTTGTTTACAGTTTAAGCACTTTCCTTGTTGTCTCTTCATGCAACTCTTTTAGCGTGAGAAAGGCCTTACCACCATTAGGCAACTAAAACACTCCCAGAAAAGTTTGAAATTAAAACCATACGCATTTAGCACATTTATAACTGCCTGACTGTCTGAGAGTAAGCAAATGTGTGCACCTTTCATATTTTTCTTTATAAACTCCTGTGCACAAAGTTATATTGCATGAAGTTGAAATGCTTGGAAAATTGTTGGAAGTGATCCAAGAAACATTTCGGACTTGTCATATCAAATTTCTTATCTCATTTCCCGTAATGCTGCGGTTTCGTAGTGCCAGATGGCGGTTGACTCTATCGACTTTCTGGCCTGTAGACCTAGGTCGATCCTTTCCTGGCCCTTTAGTGTGAAGCCTAGTGACATGCGATACCAGAAAATATTCGATACCAGTACATGATACTGATATCGAAAGAAATATTCCTTACTACTTAAATATGGACAGAAATTATTCAACACTAAAATATTTAAAAATAGTTCGTTTGCAAAAAGAACATTAATATTTCAGAATTTAAGAGTTAGTTTGAAAGGTTATACAATACCAAAGAAAACAGAAGGCTATCTGTATATTATACGAAATATTTTTTCAACGACAATGTACAGGACACAGAATATATAGTTCTGAATTGAAAGTTCTATTAAAAGCTAAAAATGGAAAACCTGGTGCTTTGTGAAAATGAACCTTATGGATTTTTTTCAGGATAAGTTAGTTTCCGTGCATAATATTCCACAAGAAACTATATATTTTGTTTAAATAATTTAATCTATTTAAAGTGGGCGGAAGGGAGTTAAAAAAATTCGTTTTTTATTGACATAAAAAATT